GATATTCCATGGAAAGCCCCTCATGCCCCCCCGGCACCTCACCGTGCCCCCCCAGGGGGGCCCGCCCCACTATTTGAGAAGCACTGTTTTAGACCAACGTTGGGGTATTTTTGTTTATCTAATTGTTAGCCATCTCTGGTCTAATGTTTTTTTGGGTCAATGTTTTGCTAACGTTTTGCGTCTGCCTGTTAGCCTTCTTAATATCATGACACATTTTGGCTAACGTTTTGCTACCTGTGACGAACTTCAGAGAACTGAACTTAGAAGTGTTTACTGTATATTCCTGTAAATGTAGCATCAACTTTTAGCCTCCCTTCGCCTCTTTTGCAGAAGCAGTATTTTTTTTATTTTTTTTTATTTTATTGCTTCATCATCTCGAAACAGACTTTCTTCTGTTCTGAGTTTTTTTTTTTTTTTTCCACTGCAGGACAACTCTGCTCACTTCACGTTCACACCCTCAGGGTTGTTTTTCCTCCTTCAGAAACTTCCACTGCAACCACTGAAGACATTGCACAACACTTTTATGCTCCAGCTCGGGGGTTAAAGTGCTGAATGCAGTTTCCACGCAACGCAACGTCCCTTTACTGATCTTAGAGGGAGAGTTTGTGTTAGTTTGAGGTTACTGATCCGTCTGAAACCTTTATTTATAAAAAGGTTTAACGTTGGCCATTGTGTCTATGTGAATATTTCACCCTTCTATTATTATTTTATTTTACCGAAATACCGCAGTGACATACACTGACCACAGGAGGCAACAGTAGTCCGAGTCAGCACCTGCGTTTTTCCTCTTCTGAACTAAATGTTTTAATTTCTGTTACTGAAAAAAATAGTTTTCTGCCTAGTGGCCACAAGAAAAAGAAACTTGACTTTTCACCTTTTTTTTTTTTTAACATTTATTACTTTAATATTGTCTCCAGTATCAGCTATATAAAATACACAATTTCATTTCCGGTTTTTCTCCGAAAGCTTGAACCCAGCTTTTCTGTTAATACAACTGAGACAAACAGAATTGTTATTATTATTATTATTGTTATTATTATTATTATTTACACAACTTACAAAAATATAATTCAAAAGAAGATTTACATTATCAGACGGCTCTACAAAATTATACAAATATAATATTTCTATTCCTGGTGTATAAAAACACATTTTAAATACTTTTCCTGCTCAAGTTTGTGACGAGGGAGTGTTTCCGTGTTTGCTGGTTTCCAGTGACTTTTGAGTGTCCTTGGCGTCAACGTTTCTACGAGTCTTCTTGGAGTCTGACGCGTCGTAGTGGAACCAGTGGATGTGCAGCCCAGCTGTTTTCCTCTGGGTGGTTTTCAGTGTAGGGGGTTTTTTTGGGGGGGGCTGTGGTCGGCGTCTACGCCCTTTATCCCTTTCGGTCCTCCATCAGGGCTTCACTGCAGTAGGGCAGAGTGTGGGCCTCGGTGTCACATGCCTTGGGACAGACAGAGACAGAGAAAGAGAGAGACAGACAGACAGACAGACAGGGCTGATTAAAACGGGACTCTGTGGCTCCGACGTCCACTGCTCTATTCTCAGAGCAGGACTCCCCGGAAGCACTGGTGGCCCTCGTAAACATGCCACACTCTGGGGGTTGAGTGACAGAGGGAATGGAGTCGGAGGGGGTTGATGGGTGGGGTTTGGTGACAGTCTGTTGGACTGTCAAGCTGTGAAGGACGTAAATTCCGCGACTGGGACACGTCACAGAAACAGAAGCAAAGCCAAAAAACAACCTGGGCTGTGACCCAAGTCATTCCATAGTCTCTATCCAGTGTTGGTTTTTTTTGTAAAGTAATTGTATGATGTAATAATAAAAAAAAAAGAAAACGTAATTTTTATTTGGTGATTTCACTATTTCGATTTTTTTTCCCCCAGATTTACATGAATTACACCAAATGACCACACGGGGCAGTAATTAGATCAGCCGCCTCTGTGCCACTGTGACTTGACATCATATTTATTTTTTTAAACTTTGATGTTACAGAAATGCATTTTAATAAAATATTACTTATTTTCATGTCTGACACTGATACCGCGACTCGAAGTATCTGCCGATACCGATATCAATCCGATACCTTCTTTTCTCCTCCAAGCATGCCTCAGTCTGCTGTTGCTAAGGCGATAGCGTCCCTGTTTACGGCATGTAGCGCTAAGTTAAGTTTAGCATTTGAGCTTAGGTATTATATCGGACAGGCTACAGTTCAATCCTAAAATTTTGACGAACATCAGATCGATCTTGAGTATCCTTGAACTAGAGGTGCTACTTGGAAACAGACAAGTCTTGATTCAAAAGCAGTGAAAGTGATAAATGGTACATCTAATTATGTGGTGCGGGGGAAAAAAATTAATCACAGAAATGTAAGAGTTTAATTAAACGTGCGCTAACAGACGACCTGACACGCGTTCATTAGACAACAATAATGTGGTTTTAAAGAGGGAGTGAAACAACAACAGTGGGCAAAAAGTGAGTTTTTTTTTTTTTAAATTCAGAGAATATTCAGAGGTTTTCAATCCCATGACTCCCACAACTCCTTTCACTCCTGAAATTTAAGGTTTCAGGAATTTTGGCTGCAGGTTTTCCATAAGCCACCATCCCTGCTGCTCCAGAGCAAGTTTGGACACCGACAGTAAAATGAGAAGCAGAAATATAGAGCAGAGTTATATTGTAGCTATTTTTGGGGATGATTTTTAAATAGTACGCTGAAAGTTATAGCATTCACTGTATGGTTTGAGTTTTTGTGACTCGTGTGATTAATTTAATAATTCTATCCCTGAAGTTTTAAGCAAATTATTTGTGATTTCTGTGTTAACATTTAGTCACATTTGCTTCATATTAATGCATTGTTAGCCTTTTTTGGGGATATCTCTTGATTGGCTTTTGGGAAATGTTTAGTATCGCATTTTGCGATAACTTTTATTTTTTAAGTCACGTTAGCACTTACTTTCTAATGTCCTGTCGAGGTCAGCGATGAAATCTTCAAGGTCCTTTGTGTCTCCGAGTTTGGCTGCAGAGAAAAGACGAAGAGATTTAGATGCCGCTGCAGGGTCCTCGGGTTTATGACGTCCTCGACATACAGCGTTCGGTAATTACGGCGCCATCTTTACTACATTTTTTGTTCCGTCATTCTGATGTAAAGCGTTGAAACTAGTTTGCACAGAAACCAGTTAGCAATCGGAGGGGATAAATACATCGTCACGCGGTGCTATACGCGCAAGATAGCTTTGTTTACATTAGCCGGTTGTACACCATACATTCACTTTCTTTCATTTGTGTTTGGGAACTTTTTCATAACAGCTCCCGACTGTAAGTCAGACTCTCTCGATGTTTCTGTTTCTATGTCCCGCATAAAAATGTTACCACTGTGTTAGCGTAGGTGAGTGACATGGATATTGAGTTGAGTTGTGTCGTAGGAACAGAACTTCTACCCAAGTCGAAATAAGTCAAAGCCGACTCCACTCACGTTTTGGTGACATCAGAGGAGGAGAGCTGGCGATTGGAGAGAGTGAGGTGGGCGAGTAGAGTCGCTCGTCACTGAAGCTGAAGCTGTTTCTGTTCAGGGACTCTGCACCTGCGGAGCGGAGACAATCATAAAACATATTTTACACTGATCTGAGATGATCCCTCGCACTCAAACGCACACAGATGTGCACGCAGTGTGCAAGTCTACCAGAGTTTAATGACTACATTCTCCTCTAATGACAGCCTGCATCTGCTGCCTGTCGCACACATGCATGTGCTTGTATCTGCACAGACACTTTTGTGTAAACAAACTGAGATGGATAGGCGATCCACTGCCTGGAGCAGAAATGATCAGCATTTCAAAGACTACTTTTATTTCAATCTGCAAAAGATACAACGGTGGACCTCAATCACTGAGAAGACTTTTCAACAGGTGTAGAGCTTTTCAGAAGCAAATGGTATTTTTTCCACTTTTTAACAGTTAGTTGAAAATGAAAAAAAAAAGTCCAACTGAGATTTTGTTTAGCCAGACTTTGAGCCCCCAAAACTATATACAATATTTTATTTTACAGTAGCACCATATTTAAAAACTTTTGATTGATTTAGCAGGTTAGATTTGATAATTTGCATTTTTCAAAAAAAAAAAAGAAGAAAAAAAAAAGCACACTGACAAAAACATACCTTTTTTAACATCACCAAGATGTGTTGTTATATGTCGATGTATTTCTCGATACGTTGTGGCGCGACCGATATTTTTGGTCGATTTCTTTGTTGTTTAAATACAGTATACTGTGCAGTGTTCATTTCACTCACAGGTAAGTACCACGTGCTAATGGGCGTGTTTTACGGAGCACCCCATTTCACAGGTAACAACATGGCTTCAGAACACCCCCTTGTTTTCACTATTTTGGATTAGCCCAACCTACGGACAGGTTGAAGAACGTACTCTAAAGTTTCGGTCCGGTGGTTTGCTGAACATTTATATAATTTCGAGCGTTTCATTTACAGGCAGTCTCCTTTATCGTGTCAAATACGTTGACAATGTGGCAGCCTTTTACAAAAAATAGGTAACGGAAACAAGCTGAATGACGACTACAAACATGGAATATCACCTTAAAACGGTAAGCTAACTTGTTTACGTTAGGTTGCTCTTTATGTTTTTGAGTGTACGAACATATCAAAATTGACATATTGTAATATTTTAGACAAATAATCGTTTTATAACTAGTTTTTTGTGTGTGTTTAAGAGTAAAGGTTTCAAGTTAATAGTCTATTCGTGTTTCGGCTGCAAAGCTGAGCTCCCGTGAAATCCCGCTCTGTGCGAGGACATGCGCAGAGCGAAGTGATGGCGTATGAATAAATATGACGACAACAATTATACAAGTGTTCCTCAGCAGTTCTTGTCAGATATCACTAGTTGACATATTTACAGATTTTCCGAAAGCACGGGCAATGATATTGCGCAGATACACGAAATGCAAAGTAATTAGGTCAAAACCGACATAATATAACGCAAATTTTTAGGTAAAATGTCACGGCTTCAGCCGTCTTTGGTTGATTACAGCCCTTCTATGGACTGGCTGCTCCACCTTAGGGACCTACTCTGAGCTCTGTGACCCAAACAGACCCTGAAACTAGTTTTTAGTCATTAATCTGCGCCTTCAACGCTGTGTCCATCCATCAGGCTCAAACACAATGGGAGGACAGGTCTCTCTTCATTTGACTGCCATAGAGAAGATGGAGCTCCTGCAGGAATCTGATCCCTGCAGCAAATCCACCGACTCATTGCATACAGCTGAAGACGCACGTTCTTAAAGACCTGCCCAAAGTTTCCTTTTTTTAATGACTGTCAGGTCAAACTTCAAACAGGCCTTAAAAAAAAAAGAAGCCTAAAATGCCCCTTCAAGAGAAGAGACTGATCAATTCATCGAGCAACTCTTAACTCCAGTGTCTGTGGAGCAAAATTAAGATTTCATTGAATCAGTCTTAGTTTGTTGTTGTTGTTGTTTTTTTTCACCCCCCCACATACTTACTCTCAGAGTCGCTGATGCCACTGTCGCTGACGCTGGCGCTGCTCCTCCTTTTCATAGTCTTCAGGTGCTCGTCGTACCTGAAATGACGTTTCTCTGTGGGAGACGTAAAGTCTTCCATCACGGCGTCGAACTCACACAGGACATCGTTTAAATCTTCTGCGTTCACGAACTTTGCTGTGTTAAAAAAAAAAAAGAAAAATCATAAATTCTCAAAAAATGTATCTTAAAACTCTATGTATAAATTTTATATCATTTAAAAAATATTTCACTTAAAAAAAAAAGACAAAAAAAGACATTAACTATGGACTGGATCAGTGATTTTTTTTTTCTTATCATAAATTCTGAAAAAAAAAGTATCTTAAAACTCTGAACTCATCACTTATTAACCAGCCCTTAAGAATGTGTATAATGTTTATATCATTTAAAAAATATTTCACTTTGAGAACTTTAAGATGCGCTTAGCTAATACAAGTACTTTTTAGCTTATCTTAATATCTTTAATTAGTTTAATTACAGCCAGCTTTGCCTACTTTTGATCTATTACTGCTGTATTTGAACCTTTGACCTATTGGTTACAATATTACATTTTTCATCACTAACCCATAGCTAATTTTTGTTATTTATTGCTATATTTTCAGCTATATATTTCTACTTTGATTAATATGTATTTTTATAATATATATTGGCTATTGCAGATGATTACTAAAATGCATAACACAACCATGATGCAAATTTATTGGAAACAGAGTCAAAATAAACCCATTATAACATATACACAAATATACTGTAATAAACACTTACGTGTTCATTATAGTATAGTTCATTGTTCATTGTAACGGAAGTTTTAATAAAATGTATTTAGTGATTTAAAAAAAAAAAAAAAAATCTCAATCCAACACATAACAGAAGAACTAAACCTTACCTTGAGGTTTGATCTTTGGAGATTTCATGATCCCAGTGTACAAAGTAATCCAGACCAGTGTGTGTGTGAGTTTGTTCCTTTGAGTGTGAGCGTGTCAAAGTCCAGCTCTATTCCCTCTGAATTCCTGCAGCTGTGGAGCTGGAACTCCAGGCTGCACAACTACTGCTTTTATACGCCATCACTGCAGGAAACAGAGCAGGAGGCGGTGGCAAAACAGGGGGGCGGGGTCACATAAATCTTTCAGTGAGGGTATGTGTGAACGTAAGAGTGTGTGATGTGTTTGAAAACAGCATGTGTGTGTGTGACGCCAGTAGGGTGACATGCTGTAGATATTATTACCTGTGACACTTTTACCAGCAGGCTGATTGAATTTGACCGAATGATTAACTCTAACTGGAACTGAAATCAGTGACTATATTTACTTTACCACTGATTAATCCTTTACCGGGAAAGGGAATGAAACAAACTTTTCTATGACGAAACCTTTTCCTGCTCTTGTTGTTTTTCTTCTTGACATCAAGCAATAGTTTTTGCTTATACTTTGTATATGTATAAAATATATAGACGAGCATAACGCTAATGAAAATTAAGCGGCAGTGACCTCTGCTGGTAAAATGTTGCTATTGCGTGTGAGGTTCAACAATAGGAGTGCTTTCAAAAATGGTAGTTTTATGAGTTTATTTTTGGTAATTAACAAAATGCAGTGGAAAAACTGCCCACACAATCATAACATAAAAACAGGCAATTTCAGAAACATGTTTCTTTTGTCAGGGGCAGCATAATTAATACCAAATGTCCATTTTCATACTGGCTTTTACCAGTGATAACGGTGTTAGCGCCCCCCAGTGCTCACAGCTAGTTAATGCTAATATATATATATATATATACACACATATATATATATATATATATTCAAACAGTTATTTGCTTCTAAAAAATAACAATATATCAAGAATCTGAATATTAAGAGTTGGTTTTATTAATACAAAATAATATATAATCTTACATATGTACAATTGTTTTAACTCATTCTTAATGGACAAAATACAAAGATATTTAATAAGAATTCTAACACCAAGACTGAAACTCTTTCCTTTGTTCAAATTCCATAATATTGTGGAAGGCCATGTGTATATACTGTCTATAAGTTATTTTAAAAAGTCAACAAAAAACGTCAAACCCTCTTTTGAAGACCTCTGTGCGAAAGAATATTCTAAATAAAATATATTAGACATAACAAGGGCCACCCAAATCTCAGTCATGTCTTAAACTAAACCTTTGATTGGGGGAAAAAAAGGACCGCATTGTTCTTTTTTTTTTGTTTGTTTTAGTGTAATGATTCACACAGATTTGTAATTGTCGTTTATTTTACTTGTTCAGTCCCATTTGTTGAAAACATCTAAATATTGCTAAACAAAAAGTACAGCTACTACCAAAACATTGTGTTTAATTAGTTAGTTAGTATTTTGGAGTTCAACATTATTAGTATTATACAGAAATGTTTGGAAGTTTCCTTGTTATGAATAGCGGACCTGAAACTTCTTAGGTCTATCTGACTTCTATTTGGGTGTCGTGTGTGTTTATAAGCATCACTCAAAGTCACAGCCCAGCAGTTCCACTCTCATGGTGATGGAGTTCATCCAGGTTTTAGGAAGGATGCGGATGAATCGAGAGAAGATCGGTGGGTAGATGTAATTCTTCACATGGTCGTTGTTGTTTGTGTTTCCAGGAAATGTCTGGGTTCGATCACAGAGGAGAAAAAAAAAGGTTCTTTATAAACTTTTATTTCTTTTTAATTTTTTTTCTCTCACTCCCAGCTGGTGCATTTAGTAGTTCTAGTTTTCAACGTGGTCTCACCTTGTATGGATAGTCCTCATCGTCCGTGTAGTCTTTCCAGTGCATGCCATTGTCACTGTACTGCAAGGTGTAGGACGTGACGTACATCTCTGTTCCCATAGTCTTGGCTCCCTGTGTGATTATTCCTGTAATCTTCTTGATGTGAGGAAGTTCTACCTGCAGCCACTGCTTCACGTCACTCCGCTGTGGCACAGGTCAAAACACAGGTCAGAGCAAAGCATGAAAAAAAAGTACTTTATTGATCCCAGGCTGGGAAATTTTTAAAAAGATATATATGTATAAATATATACAGTGGGGCTTTAAGATACAAGCTACCCGAAATTATTTTTTTCATTATAACCTGATTATTCTCTTTTAGAAAATCAAGATGTTTTTAGGAAAATAGTAAAAAAAAAATTTTTTAAATTTTTTTCTATCATTGCCATAATCTGCACCTGAGCCTGCCAGGCGTTGACTGCTCCCTGTCTGTTGAGGCGAGCCAGGGATGGTGCCCATGGCCCGTAGTACCAATGGGATCCTACGGAGCTTGCAGTTATACGTCGGTTCTCAATGAGACCACTTTCCATTCCTAGAGGAACTGAGCACCCTGGGGTGTAGGATTAGAAATGTCAAACATCGAGAAATTGTAGAAAGTTAGGATTGGTCAGAGGATAAACAGGACGAAGAAGAAACACCACCATGCACAGACACAACATACCGTCGAGCTCACAGCCGTAGAACTCCATGCGAACTGTGGCCTTGCCGTACCACTCTATGGGGTAGAGTCTAATAAACCGTCCAATCATTGGAGGAAAGAAGGTGTTATGCTTGGTTTCATAGGCCTCTTTGTTTCCTGTGAATACCTGCTGGTAGACATTGACGATTTTCACTGATTGATTTAGCCGCAGATTGTGCACAAGGTTGCACTTATCACCGATAACTGACCTTCCTCAAGTCGCGGCTGCCACCCTTGTAGAAGATCCATTTGCGGCGGTCCGTGCTGTAGGAGATCAGAAACTTTTTAACATATTGAGAGTAAAGCATCTGCTTGGCTCCCTGAGTGGCAACCTGACTAATCACAACTGGCCGTTGAAAGTCCACCTGTGTAGGAAGAAAAAAATCCACTGGTAGATGTATGTTCTTTCAACAAGTATCAACCCAGACTGCCATGTGCTTCATTTCCTTAATGTGAGATTTGTACCTGAATCCAGCTGCCATTCTGCTCTGTGCTCCAGGCATTGTATTTACCTTGGTTGTTCAACCTAGCAAGATGTGGTTCCCAGTATCCTAAGAAGCCAAGAAAAGAACTAAATGCAACAGTAGAAACAGATGAAGTCGGGCTAGATAACAGATTGATTCACCTAATTGTTAATTAGCAGAGCTTTGTTTTGACTTTTCTGGCGAAAACACTGACACCACATGAGGGTGGCTAGATTCAAATCCAAGCGGAGACTAAATGAGGAATAAGATTTAAAATGATCTACCTCTTGTGTTGTTGCCTGTTATCTGGTTGTTTTTCACACTGCCAGACTCGAGACCCAGTGGACGATAACAATCTTAATATGAGACAATGACACAATTACAAAGACACTCTAGCGTGGCATCTGGCCTTGATGTGAAGACCGTACTTTAAACGTAAAAGTCTGTACCTTTATCTAAGACCAGGAATAACGTCTGCATCCCCTCCTGTTGGTTAAAACCAACCTCTGTTTCCAACTGCCACAGACCAGGTTTAGATGGATACATCTCTAGAGTCGCAAAACTACCTGAAGACACACACAAAAAACAAAAAAAAAAACCCCAACAACTTCTAAATCTGAAAGGAAAAATCTGTAATGTATTTTGACATCTTTCAAAACATTGACTAACCAGGCAGCAGGGGGAACACAGCCTGTCTGTAGCTGGTGGTCTTTTTGTGTATGAAGGTCTGTCCGTGAAAGTAAACGCTCTGGAAGTCCTTTGGAGAACCCATGTTAATGAGGTGCCAGCGCACCAGCTGCCCCGTGTACATCCTCAGACCCTTCAGGTTAAATATGATGCCGTTGATGGCTAAAAAGACAACAATAGAAGGTTAGTAGATTTGGTCAACAAATTGAGCCTCTTTTTTTTTTTTTTGTTCAAATCCTTACTGTGAAACTTGACGATCCCATCGAAATGTGGTTGCTTCATCATCATCCTCCTCCTGCTTTTCCTCTGCATCATCTCGATGTTCTTCTGGTAGTACCAGCTCTGGGACTCGTCAAAGGTCATAAAGAGCAGCACAAACTCATTTTCATCAGATGAGTTTCTGCTCAGGGTTCCTTCTCGACATACCAGCAATGGTCCAATTAAACCAGTGTGGATATCCTTTTCCTTAAAGACAAGATTTTTTTTAATAATACTATTTAACTATGTCAACAATGCTCTTATTCAAACGGTTTCAGTTTTGATCAAATGCCTGCACTCACAGGATTGACTCCTGAGTAGTAGGCCCAGGTCCGACAATCAGACTCATGGCTTGATGGCCCAACCCTTGAATCCACTTTCCACAGATAGGTGAAGGTGGTATTTGGTTGGACCTCATTGTCATATTTATACCAGTACTTGGATCCATCCTCGTAGCTCAAACCCTCAGTCTGTTTGGTGTAGGTCACACCGTTTGGATGGATGGAGTATTGACGGTTGGCATTGTTCCTGAACACCACCTACAAGTGGCCAATGAATATGCGAGTTTGAATGCTGACAGTTGGGATCAACTCCATTCCTCATAATATCAAAAAAAAAAGACTAAATCTTACGATATTTATTTTATTAAAGCTTTACATTCACAAAAAACCCCCCCCTCAAATTTGCAAAGTGAATCACGATAAAAAACCCCTCAAATTTGCAAAGTGAATCACGAAAGCCTAGCTTGAGTCGAGTCACACGCGTGCAAAAAAAACGAATATAAAATTGTCCAAAAGCAATGTAAATGGTTAGAATTAAGTCTTTAAATTAGTAAGCGGACTTAAGCAGATCTTACCATGATGCTCTGTCCAACCTCTGCCTTGATAACTGGGCCCAGGATTCCCAGGTGTTCCTCTACCTCACCTCGGATGTCTGGAACGGTGAAGCTGCTATCAGTGTATCCTCGGAAAACCACTTTGGTGAACGATGTTTTTTGGGTGTTGTGTTGCATCTTGTCCATTCTCCTATAACAGAGAGTGTTTATACTGAGCAAGTCTTAGGCAGTAGCTATCAGTAAAAAAAACAAAAAATTAGCAATACTGGGTTTATGACCTCAGTTTATGACTTCCTTGACCTAGGGTGTTTCGTGGTTACATTTCCATCTCCCATAAGTTTAATTAAAAAATAGGTTTATGACTTCATTGACCTAGGGTGTTTCGTGGTTACATCTCCCATAAGTTTAATTAAAAAATATCCAAGTAACATTTTTAGTCAAAATATGTATAATCAGCCAAACAATTATTACAGGTTTCCTCAGAAGTATTGAACATTTAACTAAAATACCTGAGTAGTAAAAAGTACTAGACGTCAGCCTGCGTTAGCTTACTTGTGTCCGTAGCCAGTGTAGTCCCACTCAACCTCCTCTGCTGAAATGAAGTACGTTTTTACATTTGGTCCTGTGAATTTCAGGTAGTACTTTGTTGTGTCATCCTGGTAGAAGTTTTTGATGTCTTCGTGACTGCTGTATGGATCCTTGTAGGTCACATACTCGTATTCATTTGCCTTAAGGTCTGTCTCCTCCAGACCCAGATGATCCGGTTCATCTCCAGGAATGTATAGCTCGTAGTCACTGAAGTCTGGCCGTGGTATTCCAACTACCACCGGCTTGTTAATGAGCACCTCCTCATCAGAGACGGGTTGTTGAATGTTGGGGCGAACCCCACGTGGAGTCATACCTGGATGGAAACCTCGTGGAGAAAAAGGTAAACCGGTTCTGGCCACAGGTTTGTAGACTTTTTTTTTCCTGGTTTTCATGCCTTCACCCTTGGCTGGTCTCTGTCGGAGGGTCATTTTCTTGGTCTTCTTTTTTGGAGCAGCTGTTGTTTGAGTGACATCTGGCTTGAAATATTTAACCATGTGATCTGGGAGCTCGATTTCTACCTTCTGGTGAGTTCCCTCGTATGTCCAGTTTTGACCGGGTGTTTTAATGGCAGTGGTTTTGATTGCTTGAGTCGTATTTTCTTTGAGGAAGATGAACACTTCTTCACTGCTCTCTGAGGCACCGAGTTCCTCAGAACTTTCCGAAGCACTGGAGACAGTCAGGTTATAGTGCTCCATGGTCTGATTGGAGAGGTTTTCTCTCAGGATAAGATCACCAGAAAGACCTGTAATGTTCTCCAGACTAATTTCAGTCAGATTTTCAGCTATAATTTTTCCTAAATCCTTTTCCAAAGAATGACCGTTGAACGTTTTGAGCGTGTCATCAGTTCTGTTAGTCTCTAAGTTGGAACTTATATTTGTACTTGTTATATTGTCATTTGTTAGAGAAATATTTTCGTAATTATCACCCATTTCTTGAGAAGTGAGTGAAACATTTAAGGAGCCTTGTTGTTCCCGGGTGTCATTAACAGGAAACACTTCACTGGGCATCTGTGGGGCTTGAAAAGTTGATAAAACAAAATTGATAAGTTTAAGCAGCAGTGGTTCTTTTAATGGTTCTGTATCGTTGGTCATTTCTGAAGATCTGTTTAGGGCGGATGGTATTTCGGTGGCATTGTGAACTGTCTCTGAAGTTTTGTCAGAGAGATCTTTGCCTTTTGACCTCACTTGAAAGTCACAGCAATTTGTATCCATGTTATCGTTTTTATCTGACGAGGCTTGACCTTTAAAGTCCGTTGTGTTCTCTGTTTTTGGAATGGAAGAGTTGGTTTGCACTGGCGTTGTGCTCGTTTTCTGAACATGTGTTGAGTTGCTGCTGTTGCTAACCGCTGTAAGATTGACTTCGTCCATCTTTTTCAGATTCGAAAAGACTGTCTTATTTTTAGTCTTTGTCACGTCATCGACAAGCGTAATGTTTGAATTACCATCAGGAATATCAATAGCGTCATATTCTAGAAATGAGAGGTCCAGCATCTCCATGTCCGAGAATGTAGACTGGTTCTTCAGAGATCCAAGTCCTAATTCAACAGCCAACATATCTGTGTAAGCATCCGGTTCCTCTTTTGTTTCTGTTTTTGGAATGGAAGAGTTGGTTTGCACTGACGTTGTGTTCGTTTTCTGAACATGTGTTGAGTTGCTGCTGTTGCTAACCGCTGTAAGATTGACTTCGTCCAACTTCTTCAGATTTGAAAAGACTGTCTTATTTTTAGTCTTTGTCACTTCATCGACAAGCATAATGTTTGAATTACCATCAGGAATATCAATAGCGTCATATTCTAGAAATGAGAGGTCCAGCATCTCCATGTCCGAGAATGTAGACTGGTTCTTCAGAGATCCAAGTCCTAATTCAACAGCCAACATATCTGTGTAAGCATCCGGTTCCTCTTTTGTTTCTGTTTTTGGAATGGAAGAGTTGGTTTGCACTGACGTTGTGTTCGTTTTCTGAACATGTGTTGAGTTGCTGCTGTTGCTAACCGCTGTAAGATTGACTTCGTCCATCTTTTTCAGATTCGAAAAGACTGTCTTATTTTTAGTCTTTGTCACTTCATCGACAAGCATAATGTTTGAATTACCATCAGGAATATCAATAGCGTCATATTCTAGAAATGAGAGGTCCAGCATCTCCATGTCCGAGAATGTAGACTGGTTCTTCAGTGATCTAAGTCCTAATTCAGCAGCCAACATATCTGTGTAAGCATCCGGTTCATCGTTTGTAGCTTTTTTTGGTTTTGGAGTCACCTCTTCCTTCTTAATGACACTCAGGTCAGGAAGATCCCACATGTGAAATTCATCCAAATCTTCTTTATCACTGTATTCATATTCGTAGTCTCGATAGCATTCCACATCCTGGAACTTCACCCGCATCCCTTTGGTTGTCTCATGGGAATTTAGGGAAGCCAGTAGCCAGAAACCTGTTGAGACGGACCCCTTTAACCATTAGCAATGACCAAACAGAATTCTCCATTAACGTACAGTATGTTCTGATCAGATCTCACCAATGTTGTCCATGTTCATACTGATGGTTTCTCCAGTCATGGGATAGAGGCTAAGAAAGTCCTCAGTGCGCTCGTTCAGCTCAAAGGGATGACCATAGAAGGTGGCTGTTTGGATGTAGTCTTGCGCACCAATGCTGGATACATGCCATGTTGCAACTTCACCATTGCAGAAACCCAGGGCTGGGCCGCTTTCAAACGTGTAACCGTTAATGGCTGTCAAGGTACAAAGATAGAACTGTATCATCGGACAGTAGCCCGAAGGCAGTTGAGGTTTGTGGCTCTCGAAGAACTTACTGTGCATGACGTTGGACTTGTAAAAGTTTGGGTCGGCATGGGTGACTTTGGTTGGGTCGGCGAATTGATTAATGTTGTCTTGCAGGTACCAGCTTTTGTTTTCGTCAAACACGGCAAAAACAGCGTGCTGCTCCTTGTCAGCTCTCAGCTGCAGGAATGAACCACAACAATTTCATATTGAATCGGGCTAGGTATTGCAGATACCGTGCGATACAAAACCAGCACGATATTTTGCCCATGATTTTGATAATTTCATCCACATACATCATCATTATTGTCTGTTTTAAATCAAATTCACAATCACCATTAATTTCATCCACATACATCATAGTTATTGTCTGTTTTAAATCAAATTCACAGTGAAGTAAAGTGCATACAGCACAGTTGCTCTACTATCTAACTATATGCTAGAGCATAGAGTTAATATATGCTAGAGCATAGAGTTAATATATGCTAGAGCATAGAGTTAATATATGCTAGAGCTGCTAGAGCATAGAGTAGAGCATAGAGTTAATATATGCTAGAGCATAGAGTTAATATATGCTAGAGCATAGAGGTAATGCTTAATGACAAAGGGAATTCTGTAATCACAACCGTAGTACCGTAGCTCAAATATGGTCCCAGGCCCATGCTAGAGCATAGAGTTAATGCTTAATGACAAAGGGGATTCTGTAATCACAACCGTAATACCGTAGCTCAAATATGGTCCCAGGCCAGCACATAAGGCGAGACGTCAAATGGTGGCTAGCTTAGCCTGGTTTGATTTGATTTCTGCAGTCACCATTATGTTGAAAAGAATCTGGTTTGATTTGATTTCCACAGTCACCATTATGTTGAAAAGAATCTGTTTGGAACGAGTGCGTTATTGTTTAAATAGCAATATTTGCCTTGAGTAGATCAATAATGTAGCACAAGACCTTAATATGACTGTACTTTTACTATTTATTACTTAATATTATTTATTATTATTTATGTATTTTGTTTACTGTAGCTTGATTGTTGATGTACTGACCCAAATTGTAAGTGGCTTTGGATAAAAGCGTCTGCTAAACGTATTGTAATGTAATGTAATTGTTATTGTAATATTGAAGACTAAGGTACTCCCAGTTACAGCAGTTACTGGGAGTAGCTGGGAGAAAAGGTTTGGTGGCTTTTTATTTGCTACCTGGACATTCCTGGCATTCAAGGACTGACTCTTGCAGATGAGCAGTGGTCCAATAAGACCTGAAGCGATGTCTCTCGGAGTATCCACAGCACTGTGGTACATTCTGGTCAGACAACGTGGGTCTCCGGCCAGAGGTTCGTCCTCCTCCACCACCTTCCAGATGTAGGTGTGAGTCTCTCCTGGCTGAACACCGTGAGTCTGGTTTCCTGAGAAAAAAAAAATTATACAATTGAGCCAATGGAGAACATTTCTTTTATCTTTTGTGAATAGGGAGGTATAGAGACAGCACCTCCTTGTGGGTAGTTGTCTCCCTCCTCTGACTTCTGTATTGTGAGTCCATGTGGGTAGATACTGTATGGTCTAGAGGCCATGTTCTTAAAAACAATCTGTAGATAAACCGAAGATTAAGATTAGGCTCTCTGTTTCTTTCTGTTTCTCTCTCTAAAAATTGCTTTTTAAATATATATATGTAGAGAGAGAGAGAGATAGAAGGATAGAGAGAGAGAGTGTGACAAGTGTTTTTACCGTGACCACGTCTCTGATTTGTGCTCTGATGACTGGACCCAAGATTCCCAGCTCATTCTTCCTCTGTTTGGTCTCCAGTCTCTCGGTGAAGTTCTCGTTCTTGTACAGAGTGTACACCGCCTTCTTGTACTTCTGTCCTATCCGTGTTGGCGACTGCTTCAAGTACTGGTCCTTGAAGTCTCTGCACGGAAAAACAGAAAAGGTTCGATAAATGTAAAAACTGTAGTTTTAGTGAAAAGGAACAAAGTCGTAATACGGTGAATGAGATCTGATATTTTCCTGCTACTTTTATGCAAATTAATAGGGTTCCTTAATGTTTTAATGAAATGGTTCAAACCCCCACTGAACCTGCCTACGTATGAAAGTGCAATTCTTTTCAGCATGACATCTGAAACTTTGTCTAATAGTCTTTGGGGTTCTTGAAAATTGCTCTTTTTGTGGCCAGGAAGTGTATTGCATTATCCTGGAAATCTAATTTCCCGATCCTTATTAACAGATCTCTGGAGATGAACTGCTGCAGCTGCATCCCCCTGGGAAAGGAAATCACAAGTAGTCTTAGAAACCAATACAACAGCTTTTTTTTTTTGTTAAACTGCGTACAATGGGGTGATGGTTGTAATACTGTTTTTAAGATCTGAAACATTTTTTATTATATTTGAAAAAATATTTGTATGTATGTACATACATGTATTTTTTTAAAATATTTTTCAATATAAATATTTTTTTATATTTGAATTTATTATATTTGAAAAAATATTTAAAAGAATGCATTATATGTAATGTATTCTTTTAAATATTTTTAAAAAAATATTTAAAAGAAAAAAAATCTAAATATATCTAAAAAATATTTATATAATATATATATAATGTATAATATCTAAAAAATATTTAAAAGAATACTATATATATATATATAATGGAAAAGGAAAGGAAAATACTTTCAACATGTTGTCTTACTCATCAGTGTAATCTTGAAGATTTGGAGCATAATCCCAAATAACTTCTTCCGCGGCTATGAAATATTTCCATTCTCTGCTCTCTCTTCTCTGTGCAATCGTCATCCGACGTCGAGGCGGTTGGAAAGAATCGCACATCTTCACGTCCACAAATCCATACATGCCAGCTGCAGGGGCGGTATATTTAAATTTAGTTACACACAGGGTAAAAAGGGGTAATAATCTGCAGTGTAAAAAAAAAAAAAATTTGACCTTGGACATGCGTGCTGGTGCGTGATGACAGCAGCCAGCGGCCAGTGTGAACTGCTACCATGCCGGCCGTGGCCGTAGATCCACTAATTAGACCCAACGAGGACACCTTGTGGTCGTTATGCTCTAGCACTTGACCGTTCACGTGCAGCGAGAAGACCTCGGGCTGTGAGCTCATGGCCATCAGGTGGAGGCTGACAGCGGCGTTGGCACAAACACTGATGTCTGGGGGGAAAAAAAACCACAGGTGACATTAAAATTAGACATTCGTTTTCATTGCTCGCTCAATCTCCTAAATATATAGACGCCCTAATCATTCTTATATAGACGCCCAACTGATTCTTAAAGTTAGATGAGGTCATTTTTGTCAAGAAAATGAAGATTTTTGGCAAAGTTCCAAAGGACCAGTAAGGGACCCACTTACCAGGAAGTGATCCTCTGGTGTATCCATTGATGGTGTACTTGACGTGATTGTCTACGTCATGATGTTTTGGTTTATATCTACTCTCCTTCTCGTCAAACACCCCAAAGAGAAAGACATATTCATGCGGGAGTCCCATCTGCTTTCCGTCCGTGTCCAGGCTTTCTGCGGAAAAGAAGAACAGGCAAAACCAGTGAGTCACTGAACACACTGACATAACTGTTATATACCTCCACATATCTCCTCATTCGACCAAACGTCATCAAGTTCCGATTCTCACCAGGTTTGCAGATGAGCAAAGTTCCGATGAGACCAGAGTTATAGTCCTCCACCACGTTTTGGTGGGAGATGTAGGTGTAGGTGAGACAGGTGGGGTCATCAGGCTGCGGAGAGACGTCAGATGTCACCTCCCAGTAGTAAACATGTTCGTTGTTGGGCTGAACAATGTCGTCCTCTTTCTCCTTCTGGGATGTGTTGTCGAAGTAGTGTGCTCCTGTAGGAGACCACAAAGGATGAGACACAGAGGAACAAATGGTCAAACGGCAAGAGCCGAGACACAAAGGAACAAATGGTCAAACGGCAAGAGCCAAAAGTAAGAATAGGTGTTCCAAAACATAGCCAAAAGTCGGCCCAGAAATGACTAGAAGTCACCGAAAGGATCGAATTAGCTCAGAAAAACCTTGATGCTAAGCTATAATTTAAATCCTTAAAATTAGTCAAAAGAAAATTAGATATTGAGGTCAGCTCTAAAATACTAACAATGTTTAAATCTTTCATAAAATGACTTCGAGTCATTAGGAGATACCCCTAAAACTAGAAAATATTAAGCAAAGTTGAAAAAAAATTGCGATGAAGTTTCCCTAAAACACAGCAGCTAAAACCCGGATCAAAAGTTTTATCTCAGTAATTACTTAATTAATTTAATACCTTATATTCATTTCTATATACCTTATATTAAACCCCCCCAGCCCCGGGTCCCAATTGTCCTGCGTGTTGACTTTAGGTTTTATTTAGCAAGGCTTAGTTTTATTGCCTGGCTCCTGCACAACCCCCCCCCCCCCCCACACCTTTTTTTTAAAACCCCCCCATGTCAGAGAGAAGGTGATTTTCTGCCCTGTTGGACTTCAGCTCTGTCTACTCCGATAGTCCTGGTTAATATGTGAGAAGAAGACAAACACGCATTTTGTTTGTCGTGTTGGGTAACGTTGTGAAGATGTTTCCTGCAACTGTCACAGTGGCTGCACATTAAACAGACGACCACCTTCTGACTGCTTCCCGTAAGCCACGCCATGTGGGTGAATGCTGAACGCCCCGTTGGCCATATTCCTGAATGTGACCACGATGGTATCGCCCTCCGTGGCCCTCAACGTAGGCCCAAGGAGACCTGCAGTGGAAAACACACACATTTATCATGACTAGCTTAGCGGAACATCCGCTTTAATATTTATGTATATTAAGAATTATATATGTAAGGTTTTATGTTATAGTCAACAAACTGGCTAAAGCATAGCATAGCTAAAGCATGCTACTTTGTAGTAGGGTTTATTATTGAATCATATTAGCCCAGGCGTGGGGAAATTTTTTTAAATCACCTATTGGGGAAATGTGGGTATTGCAGGGAAAAAGCAGAAGTATTATGATAATATAAATCAAATATATAATTTGGAAAAGTTTGGCGATTAACGGGCCACATCGGCCTCCGGGCCTTAGTTTGCCCAGGCTTGTATTAGCCATTAGTCACCAAGGAAAGAGATTAGATATTTGAATCCCAAATTTCTAAAATAAATTCCTTACTTTATCACCACATTGTGCCATGCGTATTTTTTTGTGGAATTTTCAATCCACAGACGAGTAGAGATTCGTCCATAGATAGAACTTCACTCAAAAGTATTAGCTAGCAGAGGATGGGATATGTAATGACACAGGAATGTTTATGTAATGAGTGAAACATTTTCAGACAGGGCGATTAAAAAAATAGGTTCTTGTCATGTAAAAGCAGACAGACGGGGGTTGACGTAACCGCTAACACGTCATTTACCTAACCATGAAGGATGAGTCTTTCGCTGCCGGAAACCTTCCTCAAATTCTCTAAACACCACTTTTTTATAGGTTGGACCAGATCTGTGGAAAAAAGAAAAAAACAACCCACCAAACTTTACGACAGTAGTAAGGAAAAATAAACCCTCCAAGCTGAACTCAACATGTGGTAGACATTAGTTCGTGTCAACAGTGGTATGTGTCACCGCGTCTGTCTAAAATTGTACACATATTATTCAATTTGACTTTTGAAAGTTCTTCCAACAACATTTCCAAATAGATGAAAAAAAACAAAACAAAACCTGAAATAAATGCTGAGAAATCACAAAAATATCAATTTTTTTTTGCTAAATAAAGTTAGGAAGAAATTAGTCAGAATCAGAAATGTTTAAAAAAAAATTTTTTTTGCTAAATAAAGTCAGGAACAAATCAGTCAGAATCAGAAATGTTTAAAAAAAAGAAAAAAAGAAAACGCTGGTTTTTCAGAAATAACAAAAAATGAAAATAGAAAAAGTTAACATTAGCTAAACATTTGTAAGATAAAGCAAAAGCTAGCCATATATATGTATATATATATATATATATACATATATATTAATTTATCATCTAAATGTGGTTCAAATATATAAAAAAATGGTGTAGGTTTTGTATAGAAATACATTTAAATTAAATTCAAAATAATTTAAAAAATAAAATTGTTTTTTACACATACTGCCAAAATTTTAAATAAAAATACAAGTTAAAAAATATAAAAAATAAAATACTTGCCAAAACATAAAAAGACAGTCTTGAATACTGCACACATTACAAAAAAATTTTTTTTTTAATTTTTTTTTTTAGTTATTTCAGGGATCAAACATCACCTTAGTGAGTCTTCAGAGGAATATGTCCAGTCAATCTCCACAGCAGCAATGTAGTAGTGTCTCTCCCGGGCTTCTGCTCTGCCGAGGACACTGAGGAGAACCAGGACGGTCGGGAGAGCGTGAGGTCCATGAGGCCAAGACCAGAACCTCATTTTTGAGGTGTCACCTTAAACTCTTCTGTCTGTCTGTCCGTGAAAAGTGAAGTAAAGCAAACCAGGAGCAGTGAAGATATCCACTGAGTGCTTTATCTGGTACTGACGCACACACACTCACACACTAACTCATGTTCAAACATTATGTCCTGAGGCAGCCAACCGTGTGTGATTGTTCAAATAGAAACCTTGTGTGAATCATAGCTGCGTTTGATTAAAACAAAAAATAATCAGGAAAAGTTCACACTGTGGGAAAACACTCCACTCCTAGTGTTGAAAACTGGAAACATCTGCGAAAATATTTGAAAACAGACAGAAAAACTGTAAACATCTATTCAACTTACTGATATCAGGTTTGAATCCAGAATTTGAAACCCTGCCTGTCCTTTTTGGAAATACGACAGTGTGCTTTTAATCGCTGTACTTTTAATTGATTTGCTGTTTTCTTCATCAATCACTTACTCTTTTTTTTTAGGGCAAAGTTGGGGAGAGTCTGGAAAGTTCACTTGTTCATCATCATTTTATGTTTTTTTCAGGACCACCAAGCTGTACTGCCCCCATATCACAGGACAGGGCAGGAGTGCCACTCTATTAATATGTCGGGAGTGGCAGAGAAGTATGTGAGGGTGGTTCTGGACATTTACTGTATTAGGCTAACAAGACGGTGGTTAGGTATGAAGTCAAAGTGGCACGTGCACGTGTGAGAATGGGCTTCCATTCGGGGTTCAGCTGAGTTCCTTTTTATTTGCTGGCGTGATGGACAGAATGACGGATGACCTTGGACCTTGATGTTTGCAGACGAGAATTTAATTTACAAAAAGAAAGCAGTGAGCAGGCCGGAATTGCTGATGTGCCAGAATTGTGTTGTTTCGGGAATAGTTCACTTTAACTTATGTACTTGTACCCACTTGTATTTTAATTTTACTAAAATACATGTTGACTCGAGTGTTTTACTTTGCTACACTGGAAAACCGTTACTGAGTAAAAAATTAAATATGGGTAAAAGCAATCTGCACTGTGCCCGGTGGACAGAGCTGTCACTGTCAAAACGTAAATATGTATTACTTATTAACTTATGTACTTGTACCCACTTGTATTTGAATTGTTGATGTTGGTGATTGTTGAAAGAATTGGTCGCAGATTGGATGTGTGACTTGTCCTTTTTTGCATCAACTAATTTTTAAGTACATGCATCTGTAGTCAACCATCCAAAGCAATGGAGGATAACACACAAGGAGAAGAACAAAGAAGTTGCAGACAGAGACGTGCTATGACGTAAGGTTCAGAGACTGTTGCTCTGTCTAACCGCTGTCTGGAGGTGGCAGAAATGAAGATGTTTTTACTTGGAGTGTCCAATATAGACAGGATTAGAAATGCAAAAAATGGAGAGTAGAGAAGGCATTGAGTAGGATAAAATAGAAGGCGATCCGCTGCGACGGCAACTGCCGGGTGCAGCAGAAACATGGGCACACGATCGACCAATCAAAAACCTACCGGAAGTACGCGTGCCGGCACCTGCGCAGTAAAACCAGGAAAAACAAGGGTGTCAACAAAAGCACAAGTTGCACAGTATGGTTGGTTCTGTTCCGTTTTTTATAAAATAGGTTTTAAATTACTTATGTAATGCGCGTTACGTTAGTTTTAAAATGTGAATTTAGAAAAGGGGAGCTTTATTTCATCGTAGCAGGAGCCGACAGCTGTTAACGGGTAAGCAAGCGAACACATTCGAATATTTGTCTTGAGTTTCATCCTATAAAAATATGTTTGGAGTCCTACGACAGCTTTCTGTGATAAAACACAAAGACTGCACATGTTTTGAGGTTGTTTTTTTTTTTTTTACAAAGACGTGTTTCATTTAAAGGAAACCCGTTCAGCTTGAATCCTTTATCAATACGTTTGACACGTCATTGCTACGCATGTTTTATTTTAGTTTAACTTTTGTTCTGTTCAAAGACCATTCCTTATTCGGTGTGCTTTTTTTAAATTTTTTTTTTTTAGAAAATTGCTTTCGAAATCAACCCCAAACCTGTACAAAGGAGAACAAAGTACGACAATGTGAAAGGATATGTCAAACTTCAGTTTCATTTTGAGTCAGTGTTCCGTGTGGTAGTAAAAATTGTTATATAATTATCTTTAACCGAAATTCACAGGAAAGATAAACAGAACAATATATTTAGTGTTTGTAAGCATTTTTTAAATATATACAGTACTTTACATATAAAGCTAAACAATTGTTATATAATTATCTATCTATAACACAATATTAAGTGTTTGTAAGCAATTTTTTAATATATACAGTACTTTACATATAAAGCTGATAATCATATGACACATCATGAAAATACACAATGGTATACTGTATGTTGTATTCCTCACAGAAACTACAACCGTATACACATATGCAGGAATGAGAACCTGGTGTTGTAATAACTTGAATATATATTTAATATGTTTATGTCAACTCCTTTGTTATTAGTCACCTGACGTAGGAAATAATAATAAAAAAAATTCTACATAAAAAAAAAAGTGTCCTGAGGTTTTCAACTTTTGCCTTTGTCCTCCTGTCAACTTTCAGTCCTAGTGTCCGTCATGGAGTGCTGCAGGTCCAGTTTCAGACTCTGGTCCCGGTCCTTGGCCTACACTCTAGTCCTGGGTCTGGGCTACATCATCCTTGGGACCAGTCGCATCCTGCTGCTGAAATTCTCTGCCAATTCAGGTAAGAAATTGAGGTTCTTGTTACTCTTTTTATTTTATTCAGAGGAAGTAAAAATAGTTCAAAGTTCAGCAATTTTCTATTGTTTTTTTTTTTTTTCTTCAAAAAATAATTAAAAGTACAAAACGTTTACCTGCACTTTTGTCCATCTTCGCCATGTCATGGACGGTCGTATTGTATTTGTAGCTATGTGGTTCTATAGAGTAACAGTTAGCATGTCTGTATTGCGAGCAGAAAGTCTTGGGTTTGAATCCCAGAGGAACCACATATCCCTAACGCGGTGGCTGGTAGCTGCAAAGACTCATGCTGTAAATAATAATAATAATAACCGAAATAATAATAATAATTATTCATATTTTCCACATAAAGCTAATGATAACTTCATTGCTTCCATCTGCAGAGAACAAGTATGACTACCTCCCTGCGTCCGTGAATCTCCTTGCTGAGGTGATCAAACTGCTGTTTTGCCTGATGATGTCACTCAGAGTCATCATTAAAGGTGAGCGCTGATGTACAAATGGATGTCGGCTGTTTTAATGAATTCATCTGCCTTTTATTTGCTTATATGTCTATATGGGTTTTTTTTTTTTTTTTGCTCAGAGGGACGATCTTGCAGAGACCTGGGCTGTTCCTCTCTCTCCTCACTTCTGAGCTCGCTGAAATGGGCAGTTCCTGCTTTTCTGTATTTCCTGGACAATCTCATCATCTTCTTTGTCCTGGCCTACCTGCAGCCTGTAAGTGAATCACAAAATTAGATGCAATTCATCGCACGGGTCATGAGAAGATTTTGTGGTTTTTTTTTCTACATACTTCTTACAATAAAAAGATGGAGCTAAGGAAAGCTGGGAAGTGCTGAGAAAAATTGACGTTAGCACCTACATAACTTTAGTGTCCTGTCTTTCCTCCTTTTTCTAGGCCATGGCAGTGCTGTTCTCCAACTTGGGAATCTTGACAACGGCCGTGCTCTTTAGACTTGTATTAAAGTAGGTGTAAGAAATTTCTTGAAAAAAACATTTTTTTCTTCCATAAAGCAAAGGAACGCTTTTATTGTGTAATATTTTCGGCCCACATTTTCACCACTTTGTAAACCTAGTTTCCCCACTCTTCTGTTCTTTCCCTTAGGAGACGTCTATCCTCAGTCCAGTGGGCAGCGTTGGTCGTTCTCTTTTTGTCGATTGCATCTTTAACCGCGGGATCCGGAAGCAGCCAAAATGCTGTGGCTCTGCACACCATTCATCTGAACGCACTGCACCGCCCGTCCAACTCCTGCCTGCTCTACACAGAGCTATTGGAGGAGATGAAAAACAGCAGGTACAGAAGACGTTTGAAGCATCCGTTCATGGTCTCCTGGTTAGAGACTTGTCTGTCTGTCTATCCATCCATCCATCCATCGACTGACCTACTCTAATCTAATTTAATTTATTGAAATCTAATTCTACATATCTATGTCTCTTGTCTCATCTTGCTAGTATCGGTGAATCATCTCTGTCCATTCAGGCCTGGAGAGAGAAGATGAGTGAAAAGCTTCAGTTCTTTGGCGTGGGCCACGTCCTGCTCCTCCTCCAATGCCTTATTGCCTCCATGGCTAACATCTACAATGAAAAGATTTTCAAAGAAGGAGAGCAGCTGATGGAGAGCTTCTTCATCCAGAACACCCGACTGTAAGAGGCTGCAGTCCATGAAGCATCACGCTATCAAGAAACAAAACCTAAAAGAGCAAAAATAATAACAAGTATAAAAATATATAATAACAATATAATAAAAAATATATATAATATATAATATAAATATATTATAAATAAAAATATATAATAACATATATATCTAACATAATATCTATTCAAAACCAGTTGAAAATGATCTATGGTTAGAATATCTTAGCCTTGAGCCAAATTTCTATGTATTACAAAGAGCTCTCCAAAAATAGCTAAAGGGCAGCTAAACTGTACTTTCAATTTATCCGATTTACTAAAAGAAAATGATCCTTGCTATAATCAGAAGCCATAGTACAGTAAAAAAACATCATGGAAAATTAGTCATTATAGTTAGTTACTTAAAAGTCATCTCTGAAACTGACTTAAAAGTTAGCAAAAAGTTACTTAGTGGTTAAGAAAAACTAAAATTAGTGGCAACTACAGGTTTGGCATAGGCCGAAGTTTTCGCCAAAAGATGACTCAAAAAAACAATTATTGGTCGCACTGGAGTATAAGTCGCACCAGTGCCCTCTAGCGGCTGTCAGTGTGAAAATAACCAACATGTGAAATTATATATTTTAATATATAAAACGCACCTGAGTATAAGTATCGCAAACCCAGCCAAAGGATGAAAAAAAAGAGCGACTTATAGTCTGGAAAACAAGCTAGATGAAAAAATTTCTAAAAAAAACCCCAAAACATTATCTGTTTATTCTCTCGACTGCAGGTATGCTTTTGGTGTGTTCTTCAATGCTCTGACCCTGGGGATCAACAGAGAAGCTCGAGGTCTGACTCTGCACTGCGGTCTTCTGCATGGACACAATATCTACTCCTTGGCTCTGGTGCTGGTCACTGGTGAGCTCTCATGAATGTTCACTGCCGTATTTCTCTTTTGATTAACAACCTCAATAACACAAACTGACCAATGGGAGGAAGGAGTACCGTAATTTTCGGACTATTGAGCGCACCTGAATATAAGCCTCATTCACTAAATTTAAAAAGAAAAAAAAAAAATTCTACATATATGGGCCGCGCTTAGTTAGCCCGTAAAAATCCATAAATTAGCCGCATCATTTTTTTAAGCCGCAGGGTTCAAAGCGTGTGGAAAAAAGTAGCTGCTTATAGTCCGGATATTACGGTAGTCCCTATGTCCCGGTCATCATGGCTGATTTTCTCCCTGCTGTAGGAGAAGGTCCAGATAACAAATGTGTCTTTCTCTCTCAGCATCTCTGGGTTTATCAGTGGCCTTCATCCTGAAGTTCCGAGACAACATGTTCCACGTTCTGACGGGTCAGATCACCACGGTGCTGGTCACTACTTTCTCCTTCTTCCTTTTCGACTTCCACCCGTCTCTGGACTTTTTCCTCCTGGCTCCTGTGGTCCTGCTCAGCATTTTCATCTATAACTCCAGTCGAGTCAAAGACCCAGAGCACATCGTGCAGAGAGAGAAGCTGAGAGTGCTGAACGGAGAAGTGTTTGAGAGGTCCAGAGGGGTGAGGACACACATGAATGCACATACACATACTACTACTACTTATTCATGACTATGAAACACACACACACACACTTTGTGATAAGGGAAGTGGACTCGGGTGCAGAAGGTTTCAGGTTCGAGTCCACCTGTATTTTCTTCATGTCCTGCAGGACGGCGAGGAGCTTGAGCTTCTGACAAAGTCCGTCTCTGACAGTGAGTCGGAGGAAGAGGAGTCGTCACGCTGGGCTGAAACTCTGATGGACCACAGTGAATGAATCCCGCGCTCACTTCTGCTTCCTGCGCGTTTTTACATTTCTACTTCCACATATTTTCTATTTCGTTTAATTCATTTCATTTCAACTTTTAGAAAGTGCCAAAAAACTGTTCGTTTTGAATACAAATATAAAGGAATCACTAACATTTTGTGTCATGTGACATGTCAGACACATTTTTTTTGCTGTTCTTTGGCTTTTAAGGACACCTGTTTGCCAAGGACTCATTCTTTCATCTCCATGTAAAATAGGAAGAAACAAGAACGCGGGAAGGATGAAACTTTGGCTTTCATCTTTGTGGTTTGTTTTTTTTTTTATTTCAAGATCCAGGACAGAAATATAATAGAGCAAAATGTGAAAACGTAAGACTAAATAAACTGTGAGGTCACTGGAGCAAGGAATTAAAGGTGAAATATATATTTTTAATACAATGTATTGCATCAAATTTTTTTTTCCTTTTTTCTCCTTGTTATTCTTCCATTTTTTTTCTTCTAGCCCCTCCCTCCTCTCCTTTTCTATTTTGTTTTAATTTATTTTCCTTTCTACATAATTGTTGCTCTCTTCCCTTGTCTTTTTTTGCCTTATTTTTCAAACCAATTTTTCTTTTCCCTTCTACCTTCTTTTGTCGGTGTCTTCCTTTTTCCTCGCCACCTTTATTTTTCCTTCTTTCTTCCCATGTCTTGTTGTTCACTCTTTTATCTGGATTTTGTATTTTCAACTCTATTTTTCTTTTCGCATTTGTTTTGTCATTTTATTTGACATTTGCTTGAAATTCCCAAATTAATAAGCGTCAAAATATATTTTTCACCACCAGGTGGCGTTCGGGTACCACCAAGAAAACTACCATAAGCAGAAGCAGACAACGTTTATTTTCATAAATCGCGACGAAAAAGTGCATAAATACAGGAAGAACACGGACCAGACACTTTACAAAGGGGAATAACCTAAAACGGGTTAGCTTTCAGAAAGGAGTCAATAACTGCTCCAAAAAAAACAAACAAACAAAAAAAACAAACATGTTCAATAAATACAAAAAACATGTCTTGATTTGATCTGATATCTACAAACAAATGTGGATGGAGGAAAGTGTGATTCCGAGAAGGTAAAATATAAGAGAAACGTACTAAAAATGGAAGAAAAAAACAAAAAACAAAACAACTTCAGACACGTCAGCACTGAGTACGGCCAATTTTAAAGGGATATTTCAGGAGTTTTGTTTTTACAGTTGCTTTGAATCACTTTGAAGGACTTAGTGCTTAACATATGTGCACAGAAATAGACATGAACACTCAGGCAGGTGGTCAGTAAACACACTTCGTTTCGAGACGACACATGAGAAAAAACTTTTTTTTTTTTTTGCAACTTAACAAAATACCCATGCTAACTCAAGGCTGTCCTAAGTGTATTTGAAACGGTATATCCAGCTGGTTATGCACGGTTGTGACCTCACACGCTTAATCAGCCTGAGATGGGTCTGATGTGACTGAATACTTCACACAAACATACTTCAAAAAATGATTTAAAGTAGGCAGAGATATATAAATGCAAAAACTGGATATGTGAAAGCTGCGTAGCTAAAGCTTCCACTAAGTGCTAGAAAGTGTTCATTGTCTGTAATGACAGCTTGGTGAAGGGAAACACCGAAGAACAGTAGGTGGCGTGTTACCACCGGGTTCTACGGACCGCACAGAAGGAATGGACGTAGTCTTCTAGTTGTAGAATTAGCGTGATAGCATCTGTAGATGTTGACATAAAGAAGCGCTAAAAATGGTTGAGTTGCTAAAATAACAGAAATTAAACATTCCTAAATTTGGGTCAGGTGGGTTACCAGAGCTGGTCAACTGATATGTAAAACAGGGAAGAAGTAAAGTGGATGTAGGACAACAGCTAAGCTAGCTAGCCTACGTGAGGAGGACTGGGTGGATTTATTAGTTTTAAAAAATGCAATTTACTGCAAGAAAAACAAAGGAAGGATGACAACATTTTCTGTAACAACCAACTAGCGTTGTCACTGGTAGCTACAGCAGGTTCTCCTTCTGCTTACTTCCTGTTTGTTGCGTTTTAAACCAGAAGACTACATCCATTTCTCTTAAACAGTCTTCGAAGTTTGCTAGTAGCCGTAGCCTTGGTGGTAGCCATCTTGGTAGCCGTGTTCGTAGCCGTGTTGGTGGTAACCGTAGCCGCCGTACTCGTCCTCGGGGCAGCGCATTCCCAACGACTGCTGTATGGCCATCTCCTGCCTGCGCAGCTGCATGGAGTCCACTAGGTCGTAGATGATAGCCATGGACCACATGGGCGACGGGTACCAGGACTTGACGTTACCGTCCTTCCCCACCAGCAGCATGGAGAAGTACTCCGGACTAATCTGAAAATAGTTCCTCATGTCCTTCACGAGCGTGGCGGACAGACCTTCGCGCTCCACAGTTGCGCTTCCTGTATACAAAATGGAGGAAAGGGTTTGAAGTACTGACGCGTTGTACCGTATAGTACTGTGCCGCACATCGGTAATAGGCTTATAAACTGCATAGTCTCCTAGCCCATGGAGTCCATAGAGAACACTAGCTAGGCTTATAAACTGCATGGTCTCCTGGCCCATGGAGTCCATAGAGAACACTAGCTATTTGCCCTACGAATCTACTGCTGCCCCCTGTGGTTAGCTTGTGTCACTGCGGTGATTTTAAAGACAATTCTTACCATTGATCGGGTAGAGTTCCAAGACGCCGCCCATGAATCGCGGATCTGTGCCGACCAGTTTCAGGACGGCAATGTGCCTCAAGCCTTTGTCAAAACAGGAGAGAAGTCAATAAAAAAATTGAGTTATTATTTTGTTAGCATCAACATAAGTGGCACGGCATGTGTGTTGTAGTAAAGGATGAACTGACCCAGGTTACAGGCCTGGCTGTTGAGTCCGTACAGCTGCTGCTGATATGCCCACTCCTCATCACTTGGAGCTGAGATGATGAAGAGTCTGCGTCTCCAGCGAAATCTGAAATCACAGAGAAAGCGTTTGAAGTCTGAGAGCATTAGCCAAAACTCTGTCCTGACATAACAATAATAATAATAATAATGAGGGTGGGGTTGAAAAGAAAAAAGACAAGGGGGGGGGACGAGGGGGGGTTAGGAAACACTAACAAACAAAGGAAACACAAAGCAGACAAAGGAAAAGACGGAGCGACAGGAAACGGGAACGGCAGGGTGAAGACGTGTTGATTTAAAGGTTTCCAGGGTTGAGGCATTGCGGATATTGTGAGGAAGGGAATTCCAGAAGGGTTGACGCTGAAAGCTCTGTAGCGAAAATGTCAATCTGGTGTGAGGGAAGGACAGCAGGCCCAGGTCCGAGGACCGTAGGTTCCTGTATGGAGTATGTTGGTGTTAAGATCGGACAGGTATCGGAGGGGCTGGGGGGCGAGTATTTGACCGGGAGCCTGTGGGGACGGGTGAGGTTGGGAGTGATATGCAGCCAGGCTCTTGAACACAAGTTAAAAGATGTTCCGCTTGGAGTTGCAGAAAGTTAAAGTAACCTAGAAAGGAAGTTCTCCAAAGATCTGGGTTTGTCTTCCTTCTTGCATGCAACTCCGTCTCTCTTCTGCTGCTCCATTTCTCCGATACGGGAGGAGAAAGTGTCAATGTAGTCGAACACGGCCTTCATGGCGATGGGAACCTCATAGAATTGCTGTGAAAAAAAAAAAAACACAAAACAAAACAAAAAAGAGGCAACCAATTATTTTAAAGTCTTGTCTCCACAATCTTTTTACCTCTGATGACATTCACATATGTTCCGGGAAAACCACATTTCAAGATAAAACAAAGTTCAACGGGAATAGACAAGAGCGGAATATGATAAGAATTAAATTGAATTCAATCAGTTTTAATCTGATATGATGCTAATGCTAATCATGTGAATGCTAAAAATGCTAATAATTATAATAGTAATAATAATTAGAGCTATCCGATAATATCGTCCGACTGATATTATCGGCCCGATATTAACATAATTATGTAATATTGGTAGCAATTGTTATCAATGTTGTTTTTCTTCCGATAATGAAAACCCAAACGAAAACTCGTCAGATTTGCTAATTTGCTAATTTGCTAATCTGTGAAATGCCTCTAGTGGGGCATACCCAAGTAGCTAATGTGTTGATTACCTTTGGGGGAAATCAGCTGCAAGTATCGGTATTGGTCGGAATAGGATGTTAAGTGTTTTGACAATATTGGCATATCTGATATCGACAAAAAGCTAATATCGGACATCCCTAATAATAACATAATATAAGTGGTTGGAAGTATGCTAACCTTTAGAGTTGCACATGAAGTCAGTGATTTTCAGAGAAACAGGAAATCGTTACCTTGACTCTCATGTCAGTGTCGGTCAGGACCATGTAGAAGTCATCGTGTGTCATACTGAACTCTTTCCTCAGTTCGGTGATCAGGTCCTGGTTTACAAGATCCTCCTGACGAAGACCCTTCATTGGTTTGTCATTTTCTGGAAAAGCGAAAACACAGTTTAGTCTGATCTTAAAGATTTCACTTTGAATCCACTGCAGTAATAACAAATCCAAAATGTGATTGTCAGACAGAAACCCAACAGTTCGACCATGTTAATTTCTTTACTGTAACTAGATAGAAAAAAAAGCCCTTCGTATAACACACACTCACAAACACACACTTGCTCCTTGCTAAGTCGCTAAGAGACAGACACCAAACTCAAACACTCGGTGGAAACTGACGGAGGTTTGGCTTGGAGTCATAACTGTTTCTTTCACAACCTGAAAGAACCTGCTGTTTGAACACTGCACACACACACACACAAATACACACAGTGTGTTGGAAAGTTGGGATTAAGTGATGTCACCACATCCATCGAATTTTCCATCTAACCAAAAAAAAAAAAAAAAAGCTGGCATCACGAAAATGAGGGAGATTCTGGGTCAAAGCCTGAGAGTCAGTGTTGTTAACTGTATTCAGTGGGTCACCTCTCAGTATGCGGTTATACTGCGGGGGAAAAAAAAAAAACTCCAGAGGAACTAGTGTTGTAGAACTTCAGTTAGCCTCGGAATACTTGAAATGATCAAATAGATAAAATAGATTCGGAAGCGATTTCAAAATATATGTCGATACCCAGGCATTGCGATATGATCAGACATCCCCAATTAAAAGGGATCTGATGAAGAAACATTTAAAAAAAAATTATAAGGTTGTCCAGAAATAGGTCATGGGATGGCTTCACGAAAGCAAAATTCACTAAAAGTCTTGATATTTCCAGACTAATTTTTAGTTATTGTCTCTCAGTTATTGTTGGTATTTTGAAAATGTACCCTTTAGCATTTTTCACATTTTTCTTTCTTGAGGGTTCTTTATTTTTTCCTTGGGTTAAGGCTAAAGTTGACGGAAAGAGTTGAAGTTAAAGTTGAAGGAAAGAGTTGGTTAGAAAACATCTCATTTTTAGATTAGCTATAGCTATAGCTATACATAGCTATAGCTAGGTTAACCCAGGCGTGGGCAAACTTTTTGACTCTCGGGCAACAATTGTCCTACAATTGAACAGGGAGGAAACAGATAGATGGAGCGCTAAAATGCTTTTATCATGTTTTACGCCATCTATTGGGGAAACTTGGGTATTGCAGGGCAAAGGCAGAAGTATAATGATAATATAAATACATTTGTTAAAGTTCGGTGGGCCGGATTGAAAAGATGAACGGGCCGCATCCAGGCCTTAGTTCCCCCATACCTGGGTTAGCCCAAGTCAGTGTAACATTTAGAAGTTGACTGACCAAGCTGGTAGTGGTCGATTTTCATGGTGGAATTGGTGAGGGAACCAAAGATGGTGATGATGGAGACTTTCCTGATGGCCATTTCACACACAGCTTCCAGGTACTCGTCTCTCTGCTGGATGTACATTTTGTTCTCCTCGCTGGGTGACGTAATCAGCTGCGGACAGGAAGTGAAGCGACAAGTAGGTTAGACTTTTATGGACTTGTGTTTGCATGAACCTGCAGAACCTGAGAAGGATCATATTTTCCTATAGTGCTGTTGGTGAGAATCAGTGGTGAATGGAGACATGGTTTGAGTGGGACAATGAGGGACAGCTGCAGTCATTTAAAGCCAACCCCCCATTTTTTTACCAAGTTACATGCACATATCTCGCCTTTTAGCCCAACAAAAACACTAATGCAGAAAGAGCGGAAAGTCAGTGGTGGTCAGAGATGGTTTGGACATGTGCGGAGGAGGGACAGTGGATAGACAGTGGTAGGAGAATGTTAGAGATGTAGCTACCAGGTAAGAGAAAGAGAGGAAGGCCAAAGAGGAGATATATGGATACAGTGAGGGAGGACATGCAGATAGTTGGAGTCAGAGTAGAAGATACAGAGATACAGGGAGAGATGGAAATCAATGATTCGCTGCGACAACCCCTGAAAAAAAGGGGGAACATGCCGAAAGAAAAAGAAGAAATTGTGAATGGACAAGCCGAAAGAAAAAGAAGAAATTGTGAATAGGGGACGACACTGTTTTTATCAAGTGATATTATTAAGTCATATTATTCAGCTAGTTTCGTAGCTATCTCACTTTGTAAATGGTTAGCTATTTTTAAGCTAATGCGCAGCTACATCTTTAGCAATTTTGGGGATTAGCTCTACAGCCAGATTCTCACCAGCATACGTCTCCTGTTTTCAAAGTAATCCAGGAAGGACTCCAGTGATCCCTTTGGAATAGGCGTAGGCTTCTTGGTTGGTTTAACGTATTCCTCCTCCATTTCGGGATACTTCTCGGGTTTCTTCACATTTTTCTTCCCCCCTATCTTCCCTTCTTTCCCTCCCTTCCCTGCTCTCCTCTCTGCCTTCTTCAATGCCTTCTCGGTCATCTTCTTTTTCTTCTCCTCCTTGTTGTTCCTGCCCTTCGGCCTCTTGGTTGGCGCGATGGTGGTGTAGATGTTCGTCTCCACTGTTGGTCTGCTTGGCTCGTACCTGTCCTCGAACTCTTTTGTCATTGTCTGTGGAAAATAAAATAGAATGTTGACATGTTGGCTTAAATAGCAACAACAACAACAACATTAAAGTTTTGTTTTTTTTTTTGCCAAGGATGGCTAACCAACGCTGGGTTTCTCAATATTGGGCTAGCGCAGTTAGCAATTATTTTCCGCCATGTCCCCCACCGATTGAAATACTATTGAGTGCCTGGTAATATTTATTTATATATCTGTACAAATTCTGCGATCTCCTGATCCTCCTGCTCTACTGCCACCTAGTGACTGGAGGCTTGTTTATCGTTGAAGCATGAATAAAGACAGTACACGGACAGAAAGTCCGCTCCTCGTTCCACCTCACGCCCCACTATTTGGCACGGGGCTAGTGTTTAGCCTGTCTGGATAGCTATCCTTTAAGCTAAAGCTAACGTTGCTCATTTTGTTGTTCAGTCTGTTCAAGTCTTAAATCTCACCTTCTCTCCTCCGTTTTTCTTCTTGTTTAGTTTGTTCTTCGAAGCTTTTGCGGGGACCACCTTCCGTCTGTGTGGATCTCTGTACGGATCAGACGTGACCCTGGGAGCTGGGGTCCATGAAGGCGTGGTCTGGGCTTTGGTTGGTCTCTGAGTGGTGGTGGTGGTGGTGGCTTTTGTGGTGGTAGTGGGTTTGGTTGTTGTTGTAGTGGATTTGGTGGTTGTCGTTCTGGCAGTGGTGGTTGTAGGTCTAGTCGTGGTGGTGGTGGTGGTTTTGGTGGTAGTTGGGGGACGTGTGGTTGCGGACGTTGTCGTAGCGGTTGTTGTTGTGGTGGTGGTGGTGGTTGTTATTGGAGGTGAGGGCTTCCGTTGCATCTTCTTGAAGGGTTTTCTTTCCACCGGCGTTTCTAAACAAACAAACAAACAAACATACTTCTGATTTTGATTTTAACTAAAAGCTCAGTTTCAGAAACTTAGTTCTGCTGGGTTTAGAATAGACCATCCATTCATTCATCCATCCATCCATCCATTTTCATCCGCTTATCCGTTACCGGGTCGCGGGGCCAGCAGTCACCGTACCAACCCCCCTAAACCTTCCTGCAGGTGGTGAGTCCACTGGAAGGTACCAACCGCCCTAACCGGGATTCGAACTTGCCCAGGAGGTGAACCCTGGGGGTTCCACACCAATGACAGAGACATTGCCTCTGGGCCAAAGTGCCATTAAAATAGACCAGGCATGAGCAAACTTTTTGACTCGGGGCCACAATTGTCCTAAAATTGATAGAGGCAGATAGGAGCGTTCATGTGAACTAAGATAAATGACGTAAATGTCATGCATAACGGCTAAGATACTAAAATGCTTTTATCAGTTTATACGCCATCTACTGGGGAAATGGGGGTATTGCAGGGAAAAGGCAAATGTATAATGATGACATAAATTATATAAGAAGATGAACAGGTCGCATCCCATGCCTGGACTAGACCTTGGTAGAGGTACAATAACCTACACTGTATGTTACACATAGCAATGACATTTTGTAGCAACTACCGAATTTAAGGACGTCCATTTTTTTAATATTTTTTTTATTTTCCAACTCCCCTTTCTGGCTCACCTGCCAATGTGCCCTCCTCCACCTGTCCCTCGACTCCTGCTCCTTTGCACTTTTGAACAAAGCCTTTCTGCCTCATCTTCTCCAGTCTCCTCACTGGTGATTGGTCGATGACCTCGTACACGGCCTCCAGTCTGACTGGGTATGGATACCGCTCCTCCACCTGCAGGGTTTTCCTCAGAAGTACCATCCCAAACTTTCCTGCATGTCGAGAAAAGCACAAACCGCACAGATATGAGGATAGGATTGGATTTAAACGTATTGCCGTGATTTTTAAGATATTTCTTCAATACAATTTTTTTTACTGTAAACTCACAGTAAAATTAATCTGAGTTCAATTTTGAATGGATATTAACGCATACAATAAATTACATGCACAATATAGTCAACTCCTGCATCCGTTGGCTGTTGCCCTTGTTGTTCTTGCCCACTTATTATACACTTAGGTATTACTTGTAAAAGACAAAGTTATTTCTTTTTCTCTCAGAAAATAGTTCCTGCATCCGTTAGCAGTTGCCCTTCTTGTTCTTGCCCACTTATTATACATTTAGGTATTACTTGTAAAAGACAAAGTTAGCATCAATGATTTTGTAATTATTGCCCAGTTGACCAAAAATCTGACATGGGTACATCTCTTGTAACTAATGAACAATTGCGATACATAATCGATTCACAGCTATACCCGGAGGCTAATACGATTAGCATATATTTTTGACAAAACAAAATCTTCCTAAATTTCTTTACCTTTTTCCAATTGACCAAAAATTTGCAATGGGTACATCTAAAAAAAAAAAATCTTCCTAAATTTCTTTACCTTTTTCCAGTTTGAGGAAGCTCATCAGTCTGGGGATAAGTGCTGTGTCCAGTGGTTCTTCAAGAACTTTCCCCTCAGAACTGATTCTCCTCACCTTCCCTCCCATTTCACCCTCCTGGTGGAACATGACGATCTGGTGAACGTGTCTCTCGGCCAGCTCGCAGTAAACGTCCGGTTTTAGGAGTGACATCATGAGGCGGTAATAACCGTCCGAGTCGTGAGGCGCCGAGATGACCAGAACTCTATTCTTTCCTGCGAAACTGGCCAGAAGATTTGGTGACCCGGGGTTGCTCGGCATCCGGGTCACTCTGCCTTTGAAACCCTCATCCTGTTGCATGTCCTGCTCGTTCTCCATGTTGGACCCCCTTTTCGTGGACCCCAGGAGGCCCTGATCCTTTGCTCTACGGCCCTGTGTGAAGACTGGGACAGCCTCAACGGCCTGTACTCCTCCCATCTCCCCTGTTCCCACCCCCCCGTGTCCCGGACTGTGGACGGCGAGTGCGGAACCAAACCCTGTGCGTAAACGTCCGAGGACCCGTTCTTTGTCCAACGCGCTCTCGTGGGAAAGACGGCCCGGCCGTGCGCGTCTGCGCATGTTCGGGCGTCTGTCAGCGTCTCCTGACCAGGTCAGAAAATGGATAAGGAGTAAATAGAAGAGATGAATCCTCATTTTGACCGGAGTCTAGAAAAGGCTGGCGCTCAGAAGACGAGGATGCGTACGATCCAGGAGCGCCGTTCTCTCTAGCGCATCTGACGCAGTCCGATGAATCGATTGACTCCAGATGCGCAGCAATCCGCACAGATGTGAGTCTGCAGTCAACTCGGGAAAATCCGCCGTGCGAATGAACTTTTACATCCCACAATTCATCGGCCAGTATCCGAGTTTTAAGTCTAGAGAAAACAACAACACACGAACCCACCGTGGCACATCTCCAGAAATACACCGTAAAAATGAATTGAATCCACTTATTTACTTCTCGGGCATTGTTGCTTCTCCACCTTATCCCGCACAGACTGTGGACGCAAACGAAGAAGAAAGAGAAGAAAAACAGTGTATAAAAACGTTAACGAGAGAGAGAGAGAGAGGGATCCGGCTGGAAACTGAGCAAGAAAAATATGCAAAGTTTATTCTTCTTCCCAGGTTCTCCTTGGCAAAAATGAGAGCTGGAGGGTTTCCCAGAAATATGTCCTGCACAGAACCTCCTCAGCCTTTGAGCTCCTGGCGACACAACAGCAACAGCAGCAGCGAGAGGTGGAGCTGGATCAGGATCAGTAGTTGGAGCTGGAGCTGAGGCAGTTCCTCCTCCTCCTCCTCCTCCTCCTCCTCCTCCTCTTCTTCCACCTCTCCTTTTCCCTTTAAACGAGCAAGTTCCGCCTCCCTAACGCTCGCAGACTTGTTTCCCCAAAAAAACGTCAGATGAATTTGGGACAGTTCCAGTACAACTTTTCCACCAGATTAGATTTTTCCAGAGTCAAATTCCTCTATGAAAAGTCAAAGTGAGTAACGCCCCCCCCCCCCTCTTATATATCCCATTCCTGCCCACCCTCATGTCCTGTGAGAGGATATTTCCCCTCCACGCAGCTTTTAAACTACGAACAGGAACAAAAGAAAAACAGTTTTCGCACATGAGGCAAAGTGAACTACTTGTCATTGTCACATTTGGACACAGCACACAACGAATGTGACCTCTGCTCTTAACCTATCACCAAAGTGAGCAGAGGATAGCTTCAGGCACCTGGGCAGCAGTGGTAACTTGGCAACTGGTGGACTCGAACCTGACACCTTCCGGACCCAAATTCGCTTCCTTAACCACTAATCCACCACTGCCCCCGAAAGACTTAGTTAAACACAAGTAAACAAGAGTTGACAAAATCCTCGAAAGCTCAATTTTTTGGAATTGGGAGTGAATCAGAAATCCCACTTTCTTGTATGGAGAAAGTAGACATATTTTAGACAGATGCTGACAAATGTAATAAGCACTCTGAGCCCGGGACAGAACTAGTCCTGCTCTGCAGCCCAAAGATGTTGTTTCCTCAGTTTGTTTACAGTCTGTCAGGAAAAGCAGGAAAACATACAGAGGGTGAGCGCAGTCTTCACGTGCATGGTACCAAATAAAACCGTTTGGCATTCGCTTTTCTTCCTTCCTACCTACCTACCTACCTACCTACCTACCTACCTACCTACCTACCTACCTACCTACCTACCTACCTACCTACCTACCTACCTACCTACCTACCTACCTACCTACCTACCTACCTACCTACCTACCTACCTACCTACCTACCTACCTACCTACCTACCTACCTACCTACCTACCTACCTACCTACCTACCTACCTACCTACCTACCTACCTACCTACCTACCTACCTACCTACCTACCTACCTACCTACCTACCTACCTACCTACCTACCTACCTACCTACCTACCTACCTACCTACCTACCTACCTACCTACCTACCTACCTACCTACCTACCTACCTACCTACCTACCTACCTACACTCATGGTTCATATATTCATATTCATATAAAAAGCATGTTTTAGAACAAAGCATGTTTTGACCCCTCACTCATGGTTTTGGG